AAAAGCTTGCTCAGATATTCCGTGAAGACTTGGGAGTTTAATGAGTCAGTTCTAATATCATAGGATCATCACACAATTATAAAATCGTTTGAGTTGAAAAGGAACCCTTAAATGCCATCTCGTCCAACTCCCCTGCAATGAACAGGGACACCTACAGCTCAGTCAGGTTGCTCAGAGCCCCATCCAGCCTGACCTTGATGTCTCAAGAGCTGGGCATCTGTGGGTGTTCCTTGATACTGCTTAATTTACTAGTGTAGAAATAATCTAGAAATCTTTCCATCAGAGCTTGTAAACTTCAGATTGGCTCCACAGATGTTTAATACATTTCGTTTGTTCAGCTTTGGTAGAGTACCAAGACCCTACGTACAATCTGCTGCTGTAGTAAGAAGGAATTAACAAATGGGAAAGAATTGAGAAAAGAGCATCAAAGTGATTGAAAAACAAAGGAGAGTATCTTGTGAAGTGTCAGATAACTGTTAGCACTCGAGAAGTTTAAACACCAAAGGGGAAGAAGAATTATTTGCAGGGTCCAATAGAGTTTTACTAGGTGTTAAGAGCTGAGAATGAGTAAGGGAACTTCAGCAAGAACAGAAGGAAGCATTTCATCAACGCTGAAGTCTGCTGGACTGTGAAATAGTCTCCCAAAATAAATGGTGGCAGTCCTACAGCTCAGGTCATTTTAAATTAGACTGGCCAAAATACATGAGCAGATTCTTTAGGGAACAACTCAATATCACAGTGATGGCCATATCAACCTCACAGGCAGCTCCCATGGTCATGATAATTAGGCTCCACAGCTCTGTTCCGAAAGGAGAGAGTTTGAAGAGTTTGACACTCGCATGGCAGCAGATCTTTCATGTACGGTGCTTGCCATGATATCATGCTACTTATACATTACTTTGAGTTGAAAGGTCTGTGTGAAGAGACAATCAGAGCCTTCATAAATCAACCCCCTGGATTATCGATGCTGATGAAAGATAGAAAATAGCTTGCATTAAACCTTCTAAGCTGCTAGTATCAGTGAGAGATTTTATTGAAAATACCCCTCAGCAAGAAATTATATGTAGTAATGAGTGAACATGTTTAAACTAACAAACACACAAACACATGCTGACAGACTCTGTGGAGTTGTTTTTGTTTGTTTTTTTTTTTTTAATTTTTATTTTATCTTCTGTCTGGTTCCAAAAGCGTGACTGACAGGGTTGGATGCTGGCATCTATCATTTCTCTTCAAAACAGATAGGAAATGAACATTAACGTTTCTCAAAGCCAATCCAGGGGAAAGAGGGTTTCCTAAAAATAAAAGCATCCCACACCTATTGCCACAGTTTATTCGACTCATCTTTGCCAACAGAAATACCAGCTAAAATGAACTTCTGTTGTTTTCTTTTGCTTTCTCCAGGATGAGAATGATGGTTATAAACTGTGAGGAGGTGTTCTCCACCTATACTCACTTCCCACAGTTTAGCAAAGCATCACCAGAGAGCATCGACTCTCATGCACTGATGACCATATATAGCTGGAGAAAACTGTGCACGATCTTCTATCAGCCAAGTTAATGCCTCCTCACATGTCTTGACCTCCAGCCCCTTCACCATCTTTCTAGCCCTCCTTTGGATACTCTAATAACTTTATGTCCTTCTTACATTTCAATGCCTCAAACTGCATACAGTGCTTAAAGTGAGGCTGCACCAGCACAGAGCAGAGTGATATAATCCCATCTTTCATCCACTGGCAGTGCTGGGTGTGATGCTCTCCAGGGTCTGGTCAGCAGTCCAGAAACCAGAGGAGTGTGATTTCAGAGTGCTATAGGAAAGGAAGAAACACTATGAAGGGGGTTTAATGACTTGATGGCTACTCTAAGGAAGTGCTGGTAGTGTTTGGCTTCTTCTCTTGTCGATCTCTGATCATCTCTAGAGAAGCTATGTCTGAATGGGAAGGATCACCAGAATCACATTCTTCTGAATCAATATGACACTTAGCACCTTTCTTCCGTGGGTCTTTCCAGTCGTCAGGCAACATTCCTCATTCAGGTTTTAACTCCTCCCAGGTGCCATGAAAAGCATGGGGGGCTAAATTGTCTATATTTGCTATGGCAGGGCTTGTGCCAACACTGAGCACTGACAATGCACATTACTGTTCAGCTCATGTATTTCTGATGGCAAATTTTACAGTGCTATATATAAGGTTGTTATGGCATCTATTATTCACTGCCAATACAGTTCAAGTTAAAATAGGTTTTATATAACAGTTCAAAGCAATATTTTAAGAGATAACACTTGTGTCAAGGCTGCTGTGTCCTACCAGATTTTGACATTTCCAAGCAATAAAAATCTCTATCCAAAATGTAAGGTTTTGGCAAGACATCTCCTTAGCAGACTTCTCTATTTTTAATATGCAAGCAATAGCAAAAGAGTTACATTTAAATATAAAAAGAACAGCCAGCTGAACTTCTGACATTGCTATTACCTTTCTACGTGCCAACTGTGAACTCTGAAAAGTGCCTCAAGAGATGTTCATGACAGAGAACACAGTCCTATTAACCTGAACCTCCTCAGAGATTCTGGAGATGTGAAAAACACACAAGTGGGAAAGAGCCATTGGAACATTAAGAAGATGACTATGGACACAATTTACTATCTCCTTTCAATAACACAAGATGGGAAGGGAACTTGTTTCCTTGTTCCTTTAGTAACGCAAAAAAGGTTTTATATCTGTTCTTCCAAGAAGGACAAATTCAATGTCTCCCTAAGAAAAGGCCCAGCACTGGTAGCAGTATCATAAGATTCTCTGAAGTTACGTGCTAATCTGAGTATCCCAGAAGACATGATGTTCTTGTAGTGTTCTGTGACTTCTACTGTGCTGCTTGTCCTACACGTTTCTGGTGGTAGGCACTCAGAAAAGTATAAATTCCAGTAAGACCCAACAATTTGCATAGAATACATTTTGCACTACTCTGTTCTTCATTCGAGTCCCCAGAGAGGACAGGAGAACAAATGCTATACATCATTTTGGTGATAAATTTAGTTTATTAGTTGGGCTGGACAGCTAAGGACTTATACTTCCTTATAGCCTTCTTGGTTAGTTACTGGTTTTGAAAACATACTGGTAAAAAATAAGTTGTAAGGATGACTTTGAGCTCAATGAGCCCCTTCTCTGTATACCAACCACTTCTAATGAAATCCTGGAACATTTAATATGCAAGATGAGTCCTTTCAGGAAAAAACGTTCATATGGGTTGGCAAACAGAAAAACAAAACCCATATAAAATGATTGAAAAGCATCATCTGCTTATTCAAATACAGCAGAAGAGAGGCATGATGCAGTCCAAAAAACCCATTTCATGCTTTCTTCCTGAGTTAAAATATTAATATTAATATTAATATTAATCCTGAGTTAAAATATTTTAAAATGCAAAGTTCATGCCTTCTTAGAAGAATATAGAATATAGAATATATATATATAATGTATCTATATAGAATATAGAACATCACTAACTACAGAAGTTGAGTAAGTTGTTTGGAGGATAATTAATAATCAGACAGAAAGATAAGTAGAGCCATTGGAAAGCATGTCCATCAAAATAAGGAGACACGACTACATCTCTTAATTTTACAAAGATGGTGTGACTGAGACTGGCTTGGAGTTTGTCATACTCCATTATATAACAGGCGAGCTCTAAATATTTTCATGTTTGTTTTTCTGGGGAGGAAAGAGAAAGGCAGTGACTATATTTTCAACAAAACAATCATAATAATATCTTTCGTATCCATAAAATAACGGCAGAAATATCACTGCACGCATTCATCTTTAGCATCACAGTGCAGGATCATCCCAAAATGTGCATCTTCTTGCAACAAAGTTCCCTGGAGATTTTACCTAGTGGATGCACAGAAACTACCCCAGTATGGAAGGACAAATCACGTTCAAAGATACTCAACGTGAGGATATTTCACAATTTCACCTTAGAAATGCACACAAATGTACAACACTCAATTATGTCTATTCAGCAAACCATAACAGAGATTAAACATACCCGAACCTTGATCCACTCTCGTAAAATTATCAAATTTTTTATTTAAAGCATTAACTCATGTGTAGCTATCACTGTGTGAAAACAGAGGTCAGACCCTCAGAGCACTGGTCTACAGCAGGAACATTTGTCCTCTTTTACCTCTCCTAACTCAATCACAACTCCTGCTACAGTGCAACCAAAATCCATTCTGATAAAATTAGCTCAATCCCATTAAAAGACAAAGAATAGTCCTTAATTAAATATTCTGATTTATTCTCAAGCCCACTTTTTTGGTTCATCTTGAGTTCAGGCCTGTAAAAGCATACAAATTAGAAAAAAAAAGTTCTAGGTTTTATTCATTTATTACTTACATTTGAGTAACAAGAGTTTCCCAACACACAAAAAGAAAAGTATAAAAAGAAAAATGTGGGATGTTTAACTCATTCAGATCTCTTTTTGTTCCTTTTACCATATTATATTTATAGCACCTCCAAGGAAAAAAGTGAACAAAAATAGTATGAGTCTTCTTTAACCTATGTAAAGAACATCCAAATACTTTAATAAAGCAATAATTCTTGAAAACCTGATGAAGTTATTTAATTTATTATTCTCTCTAATGGTAAAGATGAATAATTTCTGTCCATTACAGATTTGAGTCTGAAGTTTGCACACACGAGGAAAGTCGTTTCAGTGCGGAATGAAGTTCAGTAAAATAAATCACTACAGAACATTACGAAAGAGGAAAACACTAACCAAGGAAAACTGATTACTTCTTGCCATTTTTATTTTTGGTCATGCTAATTATTAATTCTTCCTTCAGACAAGCACCTTGATTTTCAGAATAGCATAATAATCTCTCCTATATCTAGTGATGCTATACAGACAGCCGCATAAATAAGCATTTCTTTTGTTCATGTTGAGCAATGCAAAACACAAGATGTCTGCACTTTCAGTTGGTAAGGCCATGACAGGAGAAAGTTACTGACCTCAATCTGCTGAATGGCCTCCTCCCGCTGACGGATGGCCTCCAGATCCTCCTCTGTGATTTCCGAGAGCAAGGCTTGATCCTGACTTTGGTTTTGCCACGTGCCATCTCCTCCATTAAAGATCTTCTCATCGTCAGCTAGGTCAGAGAAGGGAGTCCTAGGGCTCTGCTTAGATGGAAGAATGAGAAGAAAGCAAAGGAAGCGTAAATCTTCTTTAGTTATATATACATATGGCCTTCTTACAGGATAAGAAAACACTGACATAATAGGCTACGAGAACCATGGTGAAAAGGTGAAAAGAGCATCAGGAAGTTACATAAGAGGACACACATCAAGTCTTGAGGAATGCTAGGACCTGAAGCCATATCTCCCGAGCTACATTAGACATCCAGCATCCAGCTTGTGACAGTTCTCACAGAACAAAAAATTTATGTGCAAATGAAAAAATACACATTTACTGTATTCCTTTTACTGCAGGTTTCTCTGGAATGAGATGCTTTCTCAGACATACACAAGTCCTGTGTATGTGCCTTGAAGACTTAACAATCCAACTTACATCACAGAACACAACAAAGGAAAATATCTTGTTTATTTTTGGGAAAATATAAATAGAGTTTAAAAAAAAAGGAAAATAACATTATTGTAATGTGTCAACAGCTTGAGAATCGTACAGAATCATAGAATCACAGAATGGCTTGTTTTGGAAAGGACCTCAAAGATCACCCTGTTGCAACCCACCTGCCATGGGTACAGCATCATAGGGCCTCCTCTGTAAAGTTCACTACCTTTTGCTTACACACCAAATACTGTTTTCTAAGTAAGCTACTGATTTCTGCCTTTGGGAGCTGTGCTGGTATTTAGACCCATGTTCAAAGTGCCCGTTCAAGATTCAACTGCATCCACCCTGCAGGCAGGGGTAGATGTTCAGCAAGTTTTCTCCTCCCATCCTTTAGCTTCTGCATCTACTGAGATAGTTCAGTCTTTACTGAACTCTGAGAAGGAACTGACATGAGGTTGGTATGGACATTCAGGAGGTTAAGTTCAAGTCCTAAACTAATAGGTCCCACAAAAGACTCCAGTCCTACAATTGCATAAGTATTTCACTTCAAACAATGCACACTGTCCTTTCAGCTGGCCTTGATCTGAGCTCTGACTCCTCATCAAAAGTTACAATAAAAGAGCAATCCAACTGCTTCCAACACTCTTAAGTTGAAAGAAGAAATGGCACTTGCTATAGCACATTCTTGACCTGAATATCCCCAAAGTTGCTGAACATTACAAAAGAAAACAAGCCCAACAGTTCAGGAGGATGCTTAGCTCTCTGAATCTAGACTGATCTGAAGCAGAAACACTGGGGCTCTTCAAGAGGTGGTGTTTGAGAAGTGAAAGCCTTTGCTCTCTTGCTGCAGTCAAGTTTACAAAGATGTTAAATGCCTCAAATTCCCTCACAGTGAACATGGAGCAAGGCCAAAGGAGATCTTGTTAGAAGAGCACAAAAGGACTGGAAAACTGGAAGGACTGGAGTAGAAGTTGCAGTGGAAAAGACTGAACAATGTCAAATCACCTAGGCAAGAATGAGAAAATCAAGCACACATGAGGGAGGCAGGTGAATGAGGACAAAACACAGCTTATAAGGGATTTTACTTCTTGCTGCATTGCTTAGAGATCTGCTTTATTAGAGGAACTCTGAAGGAAGCAAAGAGAAACTTAGTAGTACTTAACTATTACAACCATATTTAGACAAATGATCTGGCTTGATTTTCACAGAATCACAAAATCACTATGATTGGAAAAGATCACTAAGATCATCAAGTACAACTGTCAACCCATCCCCCCATGCCCACTAAACCCTGTCCCTCAGTGCCACATCTCCATGTTTCTTGAACGTCTCCAGGGTCTGCAGAACTTCCCTGGGCAGTCTGTTCCAATGCATTACCACACATTCTGAGAATAACTTTTTCCTATAATACCCAACCTGAACTTCCTGTATTTTGAAGAATATTATGCACCTAGAATCACTCATTTAACTGTTTAAATGTTCTTTCATTTCTTAAAAAAAAGTGTGTGATCTCTGGAAATTGGAAACTAAAGAGCTAAAAAAATATAGGTGCTGCCTAACAAAAGTAATCCATTATCATTATCAATATCATCTAGTTTCAGACAAGGAGAATTATACAACGTGCTGAAGGAAGTGGGGTAACAGAAGAGGCAGAGGCACACAGAAAAAATGGTTCATATATAGTCAAGTGTATTTCAAACATATAAGCAGAAGATAAAAACCTCCAACATGAACATCTTACTTTGTTTCACCTTGTGCTTCCTTGGGATCTGTTATCTACACAGAAAGAGTGTGTTATGGGAAGAAAATCATCATTTAAAATCAGTTTATAAATTCATTAACATTTTAAAAGACGTATTTTAATAGGATTCAGATACTCCAGGGGTGTTTCATTCACCAATTACTATGTGCCTTGCACGCTAACTAATCTGGTTTCACTGCCAAAATGGACTCAAAAGAAAAAAGAAAAACAAACAAACAAACAAACAAAAACAAAATAAAAAAACCACCATGGGGTATTATAGGGCTACATTTATAGTGACATAGGGTGTCATCTCATCTGCACCAATGGGCTAACTACATTATGAAGAGGCAGTTACACTGCCCAAGAACATGCAGGCTGGAAGGGCCCATACCTCTGAGACAAGGAAAACCTTATACTATCATAGAACCATAGAACTGTTTGAGTTGGAAGGAACTGTTCTAGTCCAACTCTCCTCAACTAACACAAGGATGCTGTGCCATGGATTCAAACGCACACGAATGGATGCATGAATCCATGCTTTCTTGTAAAGATACACATTTCAGTGGAAGATACCAAATTTTCTAATGATCTAATGTTCCCCATTCTGTTCTGATGAAGGAGCAGAGGAACTAAGCAGTTCAATAAGCAGCTCTTCAGATTATGTTAGTACATGTAATACTATAGTTGCATCACAAAGATGCTTGGTCTTGGCTTCTGTCAACTTATCAGTCGCCCTCCCTCGCTGGTTCTAGTCTCTGTAAACAACCCCAAAATAATACAGATGGAGCAATGCAAGTGATGCTGCTCAGCCATCTCTTACAAAAGCAGGCTATTTATGTGTTTAAATAGATAATGGTCTAGACACAGATGTTTTTCTCCGAACAAAGTAGTGGCTTAAGTTAATTTCAGAGCTACTGAAGGCAATTATGTGATTTTGTATACTTAATATCCTTCGAGAAAACCCAACCACAACAGCTGAGTGAACGAACGAACTGTCAGACAAGGAAATGCAGAGGGGGGTCCAAAATTTCCATCCAGACACAAAAACAGCTCCATAATAACTTTAAATACAGTCACCAGGACCTGCTAGTGGGATATATACAGTGGTTTGCTGTGCTGACAAATGAAAACTGATTTTGTAGTTGTTGATGGTACAATGCCCTTCATTTCAGTGATAAACTGCACAAATCCTGGATTTGAAAGTGCAAAGAAATCTAATTATTTTTAATACTTCTGCTTGAAAACTGTGTATAACTGGGTTTATCAGGGGTTTTCTTTCCCTTTTCAGTTTTTCTGTCTCTGACAAAATCTTTTATTTATAGCAAAAAGAGCTATGACAGAGGGCACTCATTGAGCTTCCACAGATAAAGTTCCTTTTGTCAATGCTCTGCAAGGGGCCATAACTCCCCGTATATGCATTTCCACATTAAATTTGATTTAGTGCCAAATTTTATGCCCTGTGAATCTCTGTGTAATTTTCTGTAGGATTTCCTTTCATAAATTGTTAATTGGACGTGTTTGAAGTTGCTCTTTTGTTGAAATTTGCCTGTGGCAGATTTTTGTCATGATGTATCTATAAAACAAACTCTGCCTTTGAAAAGAATGATAGGAGAGAAAAAGTTGAGTTTATCTGATATGCTCAGTGGTTCTTTTAAAGCTAAATTCTTAGGACTGAGGGTCGCACTTTGCTGTTATTCATCATATCTGAAAAATTATGCCCCAGCACAACATATTTTCTGTTGGATAATATCTTTTCACTGGGATAAAATCATTGCTGCTTACAACTACATTTTTTTATCAGATTTATTCTACAAATGGGAAGATGTTATATGCAGCTGGTGATAGAGGAAAGGAAAAAAGGGGGAAAAGGGCTTTATCTGGAAGGAGACAACTTCTGTAAGTGTCTGTACTTCAGCAGTTGACAAATCTTTGCATGAGAAGATGCACATTTCTAAAGACGACCCCTTCCCAGCTCTGTGCCTACTTTACTCCCCATTTGTATATTGGAAGGGCGAAAAAGAGACACTAATACACAATTTCTTCTCTCTACACAGTGATATTAAGAGCTGTACAATCTCTGTCACATAAAACCACCAAGAAAGGGACTGAAATGACCTCTCTTCTGGTTCCCACAGGCTGTTTACTCCACCTAGAAGAAAAAATCTAACAGGAACTGCAACCTAACATGCCATCACCCAAAGGGCATGGTTCATCTTCGGAGAATTATGGAATCCCCTGCAGGTGTGTGCTGGAGACAATTCTGTCCTGTAGCTCTCTTTTACTTCTCTAATGATGCAATTTCTGATTGCTCATTATAGGTTATTCCCTTACTAGAAATAAAAATAATCAAGTAAACGAGGCTTTTGGAAAGATATTAAAGATAATCACAGGGATGCAAGACACTCTCAATTGAAAGCTGTCTCATTTATTCTAGAATATAGAATCAGTGAATCACAGAATAGCTTCGGTGGGAAGGAACCTTAAAAGATCATCTAGTTTCAACCCCACTGCCATGGGCTGATTGCCACCCACCAGTCCATGCTGCCTAGGAATCCATCCAACCTGTCCTTGAACACCTCCAGACATCCAGTATCTACAGCTTCTCTGGACTGCCAGTGCCAGGGCCTTACCACCCTCTGAGTAAAGAATTTCTTCCTAATACCTAACCTAAATTCTCCTTGTTTTAATTTAAAGCCAATCTCCCTTGTTCTATCACTATTAGACTGCATATAAAGCCAGTCTCCCTCTTGCTTACAAGCTCCCTTCAAGTACTGGAAGGTTGCAATTAGGTCTCCCTGGAGCCTTCTCTTCTCCAAGCTAAACAAGCCCTAACCCTAACACTCAACCTTTCAACATAGGAGAGGT